ATTGGTTCTTTTAATTGTATTCTTCCTCTGTTCTTTTCTTCTTTTTTTTTTTTTAATTCGTTTTCTAGTTGGTACAATTTAAAGTCCATTAGTTGAAAAATAACGAATACTTTTTTTTTCTTCATTTTTTTTTTCATTCTTTCATTTTTTTAATAAAATTTCAATCGAGCAGTTCACAATGAAGCATCAATTTTTTACTCCTAGATTCATTATTTTCTTGGAATAGTTAAAAATCGATTACGTTCTTTTTTTTTCTTTTTTCTTTTTAATTTCTTTTTTTTTTTCATTTCACCTTTAATCTTTCACGATCATTCGCATTCTCTTACCGAATTTCTTTCTTCGGTATTTTCACTCCTATCTTTCTATTAGCTATCTCATCATTCAGCACTCCCTAGGGGGTTAAGTCAAACGGTTTTCTATTCGCAGACACGCTTTCAAAGTTCTCGAGTTTAAGGATATCTACCAGGTTCTACAATCTACTCGGACCTCTTCAGTCAAGTGTCGTCTCGAACTAAAAAAAAAAGAACAAGAAAAATCGAAAGTTTTATTTTATTCGATTTTTTACTTCAATATAAGTTTCACGAACACAACTTAACTGCGATAAATTTATTCACATTTTTTTTTGTTATTAAAACAATTAATTTTAAGAACGATAAAAGTTGTTTCGAATTACAAGCATTATGAATTTAAACGGAATAAACAAACTTCTTTTTATAAAATCATACAAACATGAAAAACAATTATTTTACGAAAAAAAAAATACTCGACTGTGTCGTTGCATTTAATTTAATGATTATTTATTCTTTTTGATATATCAATGCAAACAAGAACCGAATAACAAAGATTGAAAAATAAAATAATGGTACGCGTGAAAATTTTATCGCAATATTAAACAACATTGATGCAAACATTTCGATTTTATTTTATATCAATGCACAAAAATAAAAAATAAAAAAGACTATCGAATTACATAAGGATTTAATGCAAAATAAAATCTGATACTTACATTAGTAACACGCATAATAATTTGTATCAAACAAATGTATTTCTATTATTGAAATTTAAAATATTAAACGAAAAAAAATATCAAAACAAAATTTCTTTCAATTATAAATAGTTTAAATAAACTTATCCAAAATTGATTTGTACTTTAACATGATTTAAGATTCGATGCAGATAAAAATTTTACATTTCCATTAATTTATTTCCATTAGAGCAATGTCGAGTAACATTAAATGTGAGAAAAAAGATGACTGTATTAGTTCCTTCAAAGAGTTCGGAATCCTTCGAGACTATCCGTGCACATTCCAAAGGGAATACATTGGCTGAGTAAAAAGGGTCAAACGTGAAGTCATAGATAGATAGAAGGAAAAGAATGTCTACAATCTGTGGAATCTTTTTCGTGATCATTCACTCAAGAGAATACCAGTTTCATTTATGGATAGAGGTGTCAATACATGAACAAAAAAGTAATATTTTATCAATTCTTAAAAGATTTCTAAAATTTTCAATTAAATATCAATAAATATTTGAATAATTATACTAACCAATCCTAGTAATTTGTTAATGCTTCGAATTTTCTTCCGTATTAAGATAATATTTAAACAAATAATTTGGAAATTAACTACGTTTTAATTTTTTGCAAACCAAAGTTCATATTGGACGACCTAAAAAATAGAAGGAAGAAAAGATTGACGAGTTAATCTCGAATAACCCCAGAACGATAAACAAGAATTAGAAGAAGTGTGACGGGGGAAGAGACAGGGGGTGTTGGTTCAAAAAGCCGGTAGAGGACAAAAAAGCGATAAAAAATGAGCAATTAAGAATGAAAATGAAAAAGGAAGTTCTTATCGTTCGTCGACTGTGCGACGTATCCTTAACGGTGTTGTTCCCGATCCATAAAATTTCCTACGCCGAGTTATTTCTATCCTTTTTTAAAACAACTTTTTTGCGATATGCACGACCCCAACTACATATTCGACAACGTGTAAATATTTATCGCAGGACTCCACTCGCAATCAGTTGGAACAAATTTGTGTGAACTTCCTTTTCGTTCGACCGTATTAGTTCTTTCTTAATAATCGTTTGATGTCGAGTGAAAAAAAACTTACAACAAATTTAATCGGTGCTAAGTTAATCAATTTTATTTTTTTGTACAAATTTGTTTTGCTGTTTGTTTTTTTTTTTTTTTTTGCGAAATTTTCAACGCTTTCGAAATTAAATCGACGAATCTAAGAATTCTTTCGCACACAAATTGCACTTATTATAACTTTTATTAGAAATTAATGTGAAATTATTAAACAATTATTTATCTTTTAAACGCGACGTGTTTTTTGATTTAAAATAAAACGTTCATAGTAATAATATTATTTTTTTAATAAATTAATAAATCTTTACAATTAATTTGTTGGCATTTAATCTAAGAAACAAATAACCATGTATTATTATTTTTATTTATTACAATTTTTATTCGAAATTTGTCAATAATTATTTGTACTAAAAGTAACTTAATAAAGCAAGTTGTTAATATTATTCTCTATAAAGTATCAAAGTTTTGAAAATTAATCTTAGCGATCGATTCGACAAAAACAACACAATTTCTCTTGTACACGTTCCATTTATTACAATTTTATTCATAATTAATTTCAAATTCATTAGGAATTATTTATTTTTAAAGAATAATAATAATAATAATAATAATAATAATAATAATAATAATAATAATAATAATAATAATAATAATAATAATAATAANATAATAATAATAATAATAATAATAATAATAATAATAATAATAATAATAATAATAATAATAATAATAATAATAATAATAATAATAATAATAAAAAGCAAAAATTATAATATTATTACCCTGTTAATATTATTTTCAATAAATTAACGAGTCTCTAAAATTAATCTTAGCAAAGTCTTCGGTACCACCGTGACAATTTCCGAGCACGCTCGGAGTCGTTCGTTTTACGTGCTCGTAAAATATAGTACTTAACGAGATTACGAGCATCCAAATGTTAACTATCGTACTTAAGATCGAGTATGGTTGTTCTATCGATTCAGAAGAATATTAGAAAGAAAAATGAGTTAAAGAAGAAGAAAAAAATATAAAAATTATTTTCTCTTTTACCAGAATCAAAATAAGTTCATTTAACGTTTTAAATATTTCATATTAATTATTTTCATCCTAATTGTTAATTCCTTTCAAAATTGTTCCGATTGTTAAAGGATACACAATACTTTGTCACGAAAGACTCGTTGAAAATCTTTATACTTTGTTGAGCTTTCTCTTTCATTCATTCTTTTCTTTCATTTTCTCAACCCTTCCATGAAACCCTCCAACCCTCAGCTTTCAATCCTATACTGACTAACCTCAAACGTGAAGGTAGTTCGAAAAGAAAGACTGAACCTTTTTTCGTTTAAAGGAAAAAAAAGAGAAAAAAGAAAATGGGATCGATACTGAAAGCTTTCTCAGCATTTCTATTCTGTCACCTTTATTTTTAAATCTAAGGAGTAACAAGTAGTGAAATTCAATGTTAAAATTAACCATCATTCGATATTAGTCCAGACGAGAAAGACGTAAAGAAAAAAGTAATAAAGGAAAAAACAAGAAAAAATTAAAAACGAAAAAACTTCTTTTTTGATCTTTAAAAGAAATTACCTTATTTTTTATGGTGCGGATGAGAGAGAAAAGGGGAGAGGAAAATGAAGAAAAAAGAAACGCGAAACCTTTGAAGAATTTTTCTCGACGAACGGAATTAAAGTTTTATTTCTTTTCTCTCTCTTTCGTTCTTTGTTTTTTATTTCTTTTTTTTTTTATCGCAAAGTTGTCGATTTTATATGTAAGTATAGAATGATTATGCTAAAAGACGTTAAGAAAATCGATGTTTCTTCGTCGACTTGGCACGTTTCCCATTTTACGCAGTTGAGTAAAGTAAAAGTATAAGAAAAAGAGAGAGAGAAAGGAAAAGAGAGGGAAAAAGAGGAAGAAGAAGTGCCCGAGGTTGAAGTGGGGGTTGGGATGAGGGTGGGAGTGGGTGGTGTAGGTTGAAGCGGAAGCGAATACGGAGATAGGAAAGAACGAAGCTGAAGATTCCGCACTGGGTGGTCTTTAATTGACTCGTTCGATCCTCACCGATCTCTAAAAACGAACGTGAAAGTGTAGTATTGCATCCTGAAATTCTTGTCAATTTTTTTTTCCCCTTTTGTGAATCCCTATTACGTTTACTTTTTTAAATTATTCTTGTTTTTCTCCCTTTCTTATTTTTTTTCGAATCCTCCATGTATCCTCCAATTTACTAATAATAATTTGATTTGTTTCTTTTATTTCTTTTTATTCATTTATTTACATCCTTTGTATCGTAATACAATTGTTTATTGAGTTGTCAAATATTTTTTCATCACATTTTTTGAAATTCGTTATTAGCATCCCCTTCCCAATCCCCCCAACCGTCGACGTTGATTATTCGATGCTCCAATTTCTAATCAAATTTTTTTCTTTTCTTTTTGCTTCTAATTGAAAATATTTTTCGAAATGTTTGTTAAATAAGCTGTTTTTTTTTTTTTTTTTTTAATTAATACTTGAAGAAACTCCGCAGTCATTATTCTCTGATGCAATTAAAACTCGAAATATGTTTAAAAAAATGAAAAAAAAACGATTCTTTGATTCTTTTCTTTCGTTTTTCAACAATTATTTCATTTATAATTATCTATAATATTTAATTTTTAATTGTTGTGTGTTTTATCATAAATTAAAAATATTAGATCACGTTTTACGATAAAATGAACGAATTTTCTAACGCTTGGTCACATGATAACGTTTTTTTATCTTGTGTTTTTTTTTTTTTATTTTTTTAAATGGAAAAAATAAGTTGTTTCTATACAAGTTTCAAGTTACTATTGAATTTCGTAGAATAGTAAACACAATGTCGAAGACGTTGAAGTACGTTTTAATCTAATCTAATCGTGACGTTGTTTCTATTTTGTTCTAGATAGGGAAACTATTGAGGAGGAGCAATGGCCTTGGAATCATCAAAGTGCAACAACGTTCGATGTTACTTTGGCTGACTGATTTATTCTATCATCTACATTTCGAGTATATCCAAGTTTTTCCGAAGAGATTTTTTTCTTCCTGTATATTTACAAAATTCAAGTATATTCCTATTTGCAAGAACGTGACGGAAAGAGTCTTTTCCTATTTCTTTAAACATCACCGGCAGTCGGGATAAGAGGTAAGAAATGTTTTTGTCGAATTATTTTCTTACTCGAAAGGTAAAAATCGTACCTAGAAAAAATCTCTAAATTATCTTTAGAAAAAAAAAAAAAGAAAGAAAAAAACATTATCGTGTTTGTGAAATATTTTCTTTAAATTATTTGCGCATTATTAAAACGCGTTTAGATTCGCATCCAAAAAAATGAGTTTCTGTGTATAATGAAATCTCAAATTACTTTAAATACTTTGTAAATCTTCGAACGAGAATTTTTATTCGATTCTAACTGATTTTTTTTCTTCTTCTTTTTCTGTTTATCAATCAATTTGATTTATCTCAATTTCTATTGAACGTAAATAAGTTGCTTCCTTTTTACGCAAACTATTATAGCAAAAGATGATTATTTATTGTTCAAAAATATCTAGTTCAATAATAAACGAGCACACCTACTCGAAGTATAAAAGTGCATAAACAAGATTGTCCCGAAATTAATCGATCAATCTATGTGAACATATTCTAACGAACGGAAATAAGATAAAAATGATATTTGAAATTAAATAAATAAGCATTTATTAGAAATTTATAATCAAATGATAATAATATTGAAATACGAAACAGTAGATTTAATGGATCAATGAACAAATCACTGAGCAATCCAATTTAAACATTACACAGAAATACATGTTGAAAATTACATTATTCTGTTGAATTTGAATTATTGTGGATCCATGCATGATTGTTGTTATGAGAATTGCATATTAATTTTTTCATCCTGTATTTTTGTAAAAATTGCATCCTTTGTTTATAATGTTAAAAAATATATTTTTATGATTTAAAATAAATTGCTAGTCAGTTGAGGTTTGATAAAATAATATTTTTACGTTATTCTAGAAGATAAAATGATCTTACTTGGTACCTCTATTTATTCAGTAAAATAAGAGTATTAAGATTAAAAGGAAAAGTAGGATAGAAAAGAAAATTGAAAGATACACAAAGAGTGCATATGTGTGTCTGTGTGTGTGTGCATGCGTTTGAGTATGTAGTAAAGAGCAAGGAAAAAAATGAGAAAAAACAAGAAAGAAAAAAACAAATACTGAAGAAACGCGTATAAATCTAACAGAAAAGGTGGACGTAGTCCATTACAGGGGGAAAAAAAAAAACACCATAGGATAAACGGAAAATCCGGAAGTTGCTAGGAGATAAGACAAAAGCTCTTGAGCAATTGGAAATCTGAAAAAGAAAAAGGAAATAAAAAAAAAAGAACTCGAATAAATTGCTTTCCACGAGTGGTGATAATATTATCGCATTGTGGGTCATTGAAAAATATTGAAAGTTATAAAATATTTTTAAGTTTGTCAAAAAGGAATGTTCAATTAGAAGATTAATTGGATTAAATTTATTGATTTTTTAAATTAAAAATTAGCATATTTGCAAAATATGAAATATTTTAAATAATAAATTTACCAACATTCCATGTATTTCATAATTGATCAAAGGATCGGTAATAAAAATGATATTTCTTTAAAATTATTTGCAAAGAATTATCCAATAATTTTATATTAATTTGAATAATGTGAAATCGAGTCTATAGCCGTATTAAATAAAATTGACAGTAATGAGAAAGTTGACCAGCAAACGATAAACCTGGATTGTAGCTTCGATCCTTGTCAGCATTTCCACTCCTACATTAATATAAATAAATTACTATAAAAAAGAAAATAGTAATAAAAAATTGTTAGAATTTCAATTACAAATGAGATAAAGTAATGATTAACATTATATATATGATATAAATAAAAATTAACCAAACTATAAAAATTAATATTAAAAAAAAGAAAACATACAAAATACAATCGAATATTAAAGTAAAATAAAAATAAGAATCGTATATTTGACAAATCGTAGAAATACTATAATATATTAGAAGTTAACAAAAAATCTCGAATGATATAAATAAAAAGAATGAAAGATTAAATCGAGCGTAGTTTGGTTTGATTGGTCGTAGTTGTGGGGTTGGGGGGAGGGGGATTGAGAGCTTTGAGGAACGTAGAAAACGTTAATACAAGGCAAGATAGATTGGTACAAGGATTAAGACGAACGGTGGGCAATAGTTGTCAACATCGAAAATAACGAAGGGTCAGATAAGAAAGTCAACGGAACAAACGCGTGGTTAACGTTGTTCGAGGATAGGGTGGGGTGGGTATTAGGGTGAAAGAGTTGGAGGAGAAGATGGTCAAGGGATTAGATTGGACTGGGGTTCACGAAGTATATGACCTAAACCCTGAAAGGCTAAAACCTTCACCTTGCCTTATTTGACTCGTAGAGTACAAGAAGACAAGTAAAGTTGAACATGTGAATGAATCACTCTAAGCTCTTATTTCTTCCACGAGGAGAAATAAGATCTTTGTATAACGTTGATATTTACTAGAACAATTCGAACACTTCCAGGATATTCATAAGGTTTATTAGACTAAATAAAATTATACTAAAGTGTTTAACATAAATTATATTATTATAAATAATTATGATATTAAATATATCATCAAATTGATTTCTTTAGTTTTTCTTTGTAAATAAATCTAGTATCTGATATTAAAATTAATCAAGTGTTGAATAAAAAGAAATGGAAGATTTTATATTTTTAATAATAATCTTTAAATATTCTTCGTTTTCTGTCTGCCGATATTAGTAAGGAAATGTTATTCTTTTTTATTATTCATATATAAAAGACTTGTTGAGTATTAAGGTGAAAGACAAGTTGAGCCCTTTCTTTAACATTTTTCACCTACAGTTCTGCACATATATATAATATTAACAATTGTTTTTCTTCAGCTTTACTATATTTTATCATTCTTCACGCAAACTGCCCTTTTTTATTAAAATATGCTAAAATCTTCTTTTGAGAATCCATGGAATAATGAAACGTAGAATTCGCTAGTACGATGCTTTGGCTTAGAATAGATGCATTCGATCCGATTCGATTCGATAATGCATTCCGTTCGTATTACTTCCGAACGCGAGAAATCATTATTATTTTGATTCTTCTCTCGCGAAAAAGTTCGAGAAAAAATGTCTATTTTTTTATTTTTATTCAATTTCACGAAAATGAATTTTTGGATAGAGAAAATTTTCTTTTTAAGGTATGGTAAGGAAGTATTGAATTTAAATTTCTATATAAAAAATAAAAATACTAATAGTTACGAGATTTATTGATCAAACAGTAGGGAAAATATTCCACAAGTGGAATAATTAAAAAAAATGATATTTGAAGTTCGATTACAAACGCTTTTGTAATAAACTTAAAACCAACAGAAATTGAAATAGCAGAACAACAGGTATTTAACAGCAGATTTAACGGATCAATGAACATAGGTCACAGAATAAACACATCTAAATTTTGTTGAAATTTATGTTATTGCGTACTCATGTGTGATTATTATGAAAATCGAATATATTTCGTCTTGTAAACGTTGTATCGTTTGTTCAGAATATCATCGATAAGAACAAATTGTCTATTTTTAAACTGCACTCGTATATCAATTAAAAAATTCAACTCATTTTCAGTAATCTATTGGAAATAATTCTTGTACAATTGTGTTATGATAAGTAAATTTTTTATCAGTTTTTACAATGTTGTCTAAATGGTGTTTAGTGATTTTTATAATTGAAACGAATCAATTTTCATATTTTTGATAAAAATATTGTCAAATCAGTTTAAGATTCATTCTGAACGTTCACGTTATCTCAGGGCTGTACGAACATCATGTTATTCACTTCTTGATCGAAATAAACTCAAATTGTATTTGAGTTTATTTTATGTATGTGTGAAATAGGTACTGATACTGTTCTTCTAGATAATAAGATGTTACTTATTTCAATTTCATTTGTTTATGGCATTGAAATAAAATATCTATCTAACCGAATATTTAAGATATTTTAAACGAGAAATAATAATATTTCTTTCGTATTATAATTTCAGATCATTTGAATTACAAAATAGGTTAGTACTTAAAATACTGTTCGTCCTACATTCGATACGATTAAGTTGAAGCTATAATATGTAACATTCGTTTAATTCACGAATAGAAAATTATATTGACAATTTTTTTTTGCACATTTTTTTCTCCTATCTCGAATACGATTGAAATTTATGATGTAAAAAGATCGTTAATAAATTTTTACATGGAATGAATTTTTTCGCTATACGATGTGAATTACGATGAAATCAATTTCTTTTTTCTACAATATTTAAACATTTTCTGCAGTAAAATCATTTTAAATATAAATGTACCCTCATTTAAAATGAAAGCTTGAAATGAAAAAAGAATTAAAAAGAAATATAATATTTTTCACTTTTACAACTGAAGGATTCATTTATGATCGTATTAGTTGAGAATCCCGTGTATACAAAAGCTTCATACTCGTCGAGTTAATGGCGTTAAACATTCGTCAAGGCGAATACATTCGAAACTGCACTTGAATACGTCTGTGCCAACGAGTTGTGTATACTATGATAGTAAACAAGTTAGTAATTAAGATAATCTACGAGTTAATATCTCGGACCAATTCTACGCCTTGTTTATTCAAATAATAAATAATTAATGATATTAAAAATGATTAATAAACGCCACCATTTAATTCTATATTATTTCATTATATAAACAAAATATTATATATATATATATATATATATATATTATAAATATATATAAAATATTATATATATGTATAATATATGTATTATTTATTTAATATATAATATATTTATATTTATATTAATATTAATTATAATACTTATATTAATATTATTTATATTGTATTAATTTAAAATTAATATTTTTTATATTATTTATAATATAATATTTATAATAATATAAATATAAATATAATAAAATATATAATATTATATAATAAAATAACTTTGAAATAGAATTATTTGCAACAAACTACGAAATAACATGGAAATGTGTATTTATATAAAAGAAATTCCAAGTGAAAATTATTGAAATAAGACGGACGAA